TAAAATCCCGTGTTTCTGACCCAGGTCAACCGTTTCTTTTGTCAGGATCCACACAACACTTTAAGAGGCAATCTGTGAACTCAGATAGAGTACATAAACACTCCAGGTCTGCCACCTGTCCCCTGTTCGGTTTTAAATCTCCCTATGAGCAGCTGGAAGCTGGAAGTGGGTAAGGTGCAAGCCTGGGCACCTGAGTTCAGACGCCTGGACCCATGGAGAGCCAGGCGCAGTGGTGTGAGCTGTCACTCAAGCACTAGGGAGGGGGAGGTGGGACAGGAGGGTCCCTGGAGCTTGCTGCCCAGCCATTCCTGTGGAGGTGGTACACTCCAGGGTCAGCATGGAAAATCCTAACCCAAAAATGAGGCAGAAACTGACGCCAATCTCTGGCCTAACACACTTGCACACTAACACACACACACACACACACACACACACACACACACACACACACACACGATATGCACCTGTATACACACAAATAATTACCAGTAATAGACACATACACACAATTGAAGAGAAAATGAAATCAATTCTTCTCATGAGGTCATGGCTGCTGGGCTGAGTATAGGGGCTGAATGTGAGTTTGGGAAAAACGTGTTGTGTGAATAGGCAACATCCCATTCTAGATCCTTCCACAGACTTAACAGGAAAACAAACAAACAAAAACCCCACATTACTCCATTCCTAAAAGCAAATGAAAAAACAAACAGCTAATGTGAGATCAAGGTGACCTGAAGTCCTCTCTTCAGGAAACCAGTGGATCCTCCTGTTGCAGAAAAGACAGTAAAACCACCAGGGCAGCATCCCAGGGGCCCGTCCACAGCTGCGCCTCCTGCTGGAAAGATGTGTTCACTGCATGTACAAAATGATACCGTCTGTTCCCGGCCCCAAAGAGCTCACCTGAGGCAGGTAAATTCTTGGGAAAGCATAAGAGAGCCATGCTTGACAAGCTCCATAAGGTTCGAAATGAGTCAGTGGTCCGAGCAGCCACCCAGATGCAAACGGGAAATCCAAAGCTTACTGGAGCGGCCTGGATTTCAACAGGCCGTCACCTTTCTCACACAGGGGTCCCTCTGATGCCCAGTCACCGAGCTTCCAGGAGGAAACTGCCTGTGCCTGTCTGAGGAGTAAAAATGCAGCTACTGCAGAATGAAAGACTGGACAATGATGGGGTGTTTTCATCCAGGCGGACATTTGAGCATTTACACTCAAACTCTCTGCGGCAGCCAACTGGCTAATAACATTGACTTCTCTAAGTCTGTCCGAGTTAGAAAACTACTTGGGATAAGTCAGAGGTCTCTGGAACTTTCTTAGAAAGGCCAGGGAGATGGTTCAAAGGATGACAGTTGTTGCTGCACAAGCCTGATGACCTGAGTTTGGAGCCCTGGAAGCTGGTGTAAAAGCATGTGAGATGTGTGCCTGTAACTGCAGCATTCCCATACCAATCCAGGAAGTACAGAGATGGGAGAATTCACGCAAGGGCCAGCTCGCCTGGAGCATGCGGCCCAGCACAACATGACCCTGACTCAAACAAAGGAGAAGGAGGAAGTAATAGCCAAGACTGCCCCTGACCTCCACATGCGTGTCGTGGAACGAGCACAACCTTCACATGTGAGCACACTCACTGAACACACACACACACACACACACACACACACACACACACACACACACAAATATCATACCCTGGGATTTCTAACTCAATAGGACCACAGCAAACAGGTTGTGCAGAATATTGTCTGAGGAGGCAGACAATATTCTGAACGACAGCTGTTGCTCCCAGTCAGCTTCGCGGGTTGTTTTGAATGAAATCTCTGGTGGTTTTTAGTATTATTTGGGATCCAGCTTGGGACATTTTTCATTGTCTTTGGAAACTTGAAGTAAAGTGCTGACCTAATGGATATTTCCAATCTCAGCCCAACCACCCAGAATGCACCCATCTCGTCTGAACATTCTATTTAATTAAGGATGTGTTCGGGACTCTGCTTGTAAGGAAGTCCAGCAGAGGCTGGTGTCCCCTGGAGAGCAGGCAGGCTTCTGTTTTGCAGGCGGTTGGACTTTAGTGAAATTGACAGGGGGGAATCTGGACCCACATACTCAGAAACAGATTGCAGATTTTAGCTGGAGAGTAATAAAGAGAAACATGTTTTAACAGGACAAAAGAATAACACAGCATGTGAGAGTCTGTTACAAGAGGGACTGTAGTAAGTTTTTCTATAAATGTGAGATAAGCTGCGTCTGGGGGGCACTGGCCTATACTCTCAGCTACTCGGAAGGCTGAGGCAGGAAGTTCACAAGTTCAAGACCTGCTTGGTCTCAGATTCTCAGAGGGAATCCGAGTCCAGGCCCAGCAACTGAACGAGAGTCTGAAAACAAGGAGAGGAGCTGGAGGCCTGCTCGGCGGCTAAGTGTGCACTGCGCTGGCAGACCCTGAACTTGGTGCCCAGCACCCATTCCAGGCAGCTTACAACCACCTGTAACTCGAGCCTGGGGAATCTGGCACCTCTGGCCTGCATTCACAGGCTCGTACCCATCCCCAACACAAATCCATACACGTAATTTAAAATAATAAAAAAAGATAAAATAACAGAGCTTGGTAAAGTGTTTGCCCAGTCTGTGGGGTCCCAGGTTCAATCTTCTCTACCATAAAAGAAAGACAAAAGAAGTCCAGTTAAAGCAGAGCTAAGGGGATTTTTCTCTTACTTTGACCCGAGGCCTCGTGAGAGAGAATAGGGGTTCACCCCGAGCCTCCGATCCTGCCGTATTTCATGGTTCCCTTGTACACTCTGGTTCCTGGGACTTGGAGATGTTACATGAGTCTGTGTTCTCCCGCCGCGTGTCTTAGGAATGGAACTGAGTCTCACCATGCTAGAATTGCCTCGCTCTGTGGGCAGACAAGTCGGCTCAGGGGTGAAGCGCTTGCTCTCAAAGCTGACAACCTGATTTGATCCCCAGAACCCACACAGGGAAAAGAGAGCCGACTCCCACAAGCTGCCTCTGACCTCCACACACATGCCATGGGATGCATGTATGAATCCATGAAAGTGTGTGTATAAACACACACACACACAAGAAAATAAATAAATGTAATTAAGTTTAAAAATAAAATCAAATCACCTGGTTTGTCCGGAAGAGCACTGGGTACCCCAGGGTAAGGTCAACGAGAGAAAAATGTCTATGTTCTCAGCAAAAGCAGCTTCTTCACCACAAGAAACCCCACTAAGACTGTCAGTGAAGTACAGAGACTTCATGATGCAGATATGTGCGTGCAATTGTGTGCCTTCATGCATGCATGCGTGTGTGCACGCTCGTGTGTGTGTGTGTGTGTGTGTGTGTGTGTGTGTGTGTGCACGTGCGTGTATAAACCAACCAGAGGTCAATGTCTGGTGACTTCCTCGATCACTGCTCTCCTCTATGTTTTTGAGATAGGGTCTCTCACTGAACCTAGAACTTTAGATTTGCCTAAACTGGCTGGCCAGTGAGCATAGAGAGAGCCTCGTCTCCACCTCCCTAGCACTGGGTTAATGAATGCATGCTGCCTCGTGCAGCTTCTGGAACCCAGGTCCTCATGCCCACACAGTGAGCTGACTGACCCGTGTCCCAGGCCGCTTTCTTCACTTAAGAAAGTCCTCAGAAGCCTGGGGGTGAGGCATGCCTTCATCAGAGGCAGGAGGATCTCTGTGAGTTCGAAGCCAGCAAATTCCCAGACAGCCAGAGATATCATAGAGTAACCCTGTCTCAAAAAAGAAAGAAAAGAAAGGAAGGAAGAAACTCCTCACTAAGAAATACCTTAATTCTTCCGTATTAGTGTACTTCGCCTAAAAACAGTGAATTAGAACTGCCTCCTTTGAAAAATAGGAAAAAAGAAATAACTATTTATTGATAATACCACACATCTGAAACAACAAGAACTAGGTAAAAACATGTCAGGAAGGTTAGGAATGTCAGGAAAACAAAGGACCCAGGAAACATCAAGAAAAAGGGAACTGGGAAGAAGGCGTCCGTATGAAAGCGGACAATGGTGTTAGGAGAATTGTCTTAAATTATGAAGTACTTTAAAGACTGAGTACTTAAGGGTGGATAAGACGCTTCTGTAACAATCTCGGAATCTGAATATAAGTGCAACAGTCCCCTTGGTATGTTGTAAAGTACGCAATTTTAATTATGTGATTTTCCTGGCTAATTTCTGCTTCAAAAACAGTAAGTACTCTGCTTACAAGGCGGCAAAGACAAGAAGTTTTCTCAGCCTCTCATATGCACATTGTCATCAAAATTTAAATTACCAGAAACATGCCTTTTAGTTACATTACAATTAGGCCTGTGAGGTGGTCCCCGAGACCCCCCCATCGCGGTCGGCAGATACTGAACAGCAGTTGCGTCTATAAAGCACTTTTTCCTTCCCGGGGCTCTCACGAGTGACATTTTCAAACAAACTGTATTTGTTTGCTCAGCCTTAACTCATGTGCTGGCTACATCTATCATTATAAATTGCTCCCACTCAGGAGGCTCTTTGAAAAGACTTCAAGATATACCCTGTTGTATTTGCATACGCGATGCATTTTGCATGGGCTCTGCATGAGAGTTAGTCAACAACGGTAAATACAGACTGTCTGACAAAATACAGCAACAATTTGAGGGGACGGAGACGGAACACTTGTCAGAAGATGTCCACAATAATTAATTCCTTCAGCACACTGAAGAGACTCTCTTAATATCACAGCCTCTTTTGAGGGGCTCATTACTTCCTGACCATCTGTCATCTCCTCCCCAAAAACCTAATTAGGGTTTCACCCAGTCACACATTGGAAATAATGCGAATATGGACGGCTAAGACAGTATAGAGAAGAAGTTAACATCATAGCATTTTGTTTAAAAATTATGAAATTCAGAATTAGCCTTTCAGGTTCTAATAAAGTACTTATTTTCTTAATCTTTTCCTGGTAAGTTATTCAATCATAAGCGTGGACAATTAAACACACACACAGACAGAAAACACTTACAGGTAGTAGAGTTTCCCTGCAGGAATGAGTTCCCTTTTCCGATAATCTATCCCAGAATCTAGCTGGACCGTATTGCAATATTCCTATAATATAGACATAGAAAACATATTTTAAAACAAGGAATAGATTTGACTTAAGACCCACTCCATGAGATGGAGCCCAACAACCAGAGACAAGACACCCCAGGAAACTAGAGTAAAACCAAATACCACCGGTCTATAATAATAAAAATAATAATAAATAATAAATGCAAGAGTGATGAAACTACTCCTAACAACATTCTGCTATACTCATAGATCAATGCCTTATTCGGCCATCATCAGAGAGGCGTCCTCAGAGGGCAGATAGAAGCAGATGCAGAGACCCACAGACAGTGTGACAGAGAGAGAGGGAGAGAGAGAGAGAGACTCCTTGGAACACGCAGCCCTAAATGGGATGTCTCCATCACATCCCTCCCCTCAGAGCTCAGGGAACCCTGCAGAAGAGGAGACAGAAAGAAAGCAGGTAAGAGCCGGGAGCATGGAGGACAGCAGGAGAACAAGGCCCTCCGAATCAACTGAGCGAGGCTCACATGAACTCAGAGCCTGAGGCAGCAGCAGTCACAGGGCCTGCGCGGTCTGCACCGGTCCCCCGTTATATACTACCGCTTCCAGTTCAGTGTTTTATGGGGCTCCCGGGTGTGTGAACCGAGAGGCTCTTGGGCTCATTCCTTCTGCTGGCTTCCCTTGTCCAACTTCAAAGTGATGTTTTCTGTTTTATCTTAGTATGCTTTATTTTGTTATGGTTTTTGTTAAAAAATAAAATAATAAATGCTTTGGAGAAATGGCTCTGACAATCAACCAACAAAACAAACGAACAAAAAACATGGAATGACTTGGAATTATAAGCTTTCTGCGTGTGTGTGTGTGTGTGTGTGTGTGTGTGTGTGTGTGTGTGTGTGTGTATAATTCCTGAGATGTTTCAATGAGGTTATATGAGCTTGGAAGAAAACAATTTAACTCATGTAAGATTCATAAAACTGAAATTGCAATATTAAATATATATAAAGCTAATAAAATAATAATTTAATTAAAAGTAAGTTTTGCATTATGTTTTCCTGAAACTTTGCCAAAATTGTACAGCCAGTAAATTTCCCCAAGTACCTGCATTTGAGTTTCTGCTGATCTCTTAAACTAGCCGATTTTCAGCCAGCCAGTCATGGGGTGGGGGGCGAGTGGTGGAGGAAGACAGGAGGATCTCTGTGAGTTCGAGGCTAGCCTGGTCTACAGAGTGAGTTCTAGGACAGCCAGGGCTACACAGAGAAATGCTGTCTCGAAAAACAAACAACAAAACAATAGCCAATTCCCATAACTCTGGGATAAGAAGGTAGAAGCCTGGGTCAGGCATCTGTGGTGACATTTAAGGCCAAGTGACCACACTACAGTGAGGCCTTCTGCAGAGCCACCTTCATTTCCAAACACTGCCACTGCTCGGCCCTTAGATCTCATCTGGTCATCGTGTCTGCTGCACCCTCTCCTGCTCCAGATGCCTCTGTTCAGCCTGCATCATCCTGTGTCACTAATCCTTTCTTCACCTAATAATGCTGTTCCCACCCTCCAGGCTGCATATGTACATGTAAATCACACACACACACACACACACACACACACACACACACACACACACTCCAAATACCTTTTTACAAAGACTCATGAACTTTGCAACACCAACCTGTGTTAGTTGGTGTTTTGTGGGATGGAGGGAACATGTGTGTATATATATATATACAAACATACAAACATACATATTCATTGAGCAGGATTTTTAGGATATGTCAAGAAACATTTACAGGATGTCCTTTTAGTTTGTATTCAAAATGAAAACTGCTTTATAAAATTGGTGATGAAAAGTTATATCTTGGGGCTGGAGAGATGGCTCGGTGGTTAAGAGTGCTCTTTCAATTCCCAGCAACCACATGGTGGCTCACAACCATCTGTAATGAGATCTGATGCCCTCTTCTGGTGTGCAGGCATACATGAAGATAGAGCACTCATATACAAAAATAAATAAATCTTTTTTAAAAAAGAAAAATTATATCTTTATAACTTTACTGTTTGTATTAATAAAAATTGAATCTTTCAAAATCTCTGAGGCCAAGATAGTGAGGATGGGTGGTACTTCCAAAATAGCTCAAACATCTCTCTATCCTAACATGTTCTTAGAAAGTGGTGCTGGGGCTGGAGAGATGGCTCAGTGGTTAAGAGCATTGACTGCTCTTCCAGAGGTCCTGAGTTCAATTCCCAGCAACCACATGATGGCTCACAACCATTTGTAATGAGATCTGGTGCCCTCTTCTGGCCTGCAGTCATACATGCTGTATACATAATAAATAAATAAAATCTTTAAAAAGAAAAAAAAAAAAAGCTTTAAAAAAAAAAAAAAGAAAGTGGTGCTGATATGTCAACCAGTAAGAAGCAGGGCCCATAATCTGTGCTTGATGGATGGAAATACTGGGCATGGTGATGTATGCTTATCCTCCCAGCACTTAGGAGACTGAGGCATGAGGATTTCTTGCATTTAAGAACAATCTGGGCTCAAAGACAGACCCTATGGCAAACAAACCCAGAAACATCAGGTCTGGTGACTTAGTGAGATCCTCTCTCAAAATATGAAGTACAAAGAAGGCTAAGGTACACAGCGAAACCCTGTCTCGAAAAAACCAAAAATAAATAAATAAATAAATACATAAATAAATAAGTAAAAGAAGTTAAATTCAAATATTTGTTTCTAAAGGAAAAAAGGGGATATGATATAGGAATGATAGGAAAGGGGGTGGATTATTAAATCTACTTTAATCCTGAAGCAACTATTAATCTCAAAATATTTTATATTGGTATGGATTTTGGTTTATTGATAAAAATTTAAAATTATTTGTCTATACTATGTGTGTTCTACTCTTGTTTGGGGTATTTGCTTATGCAGCTCATTAAAAAATTATAAATGTAATTCTTGCTTAATAATTGTTCTTATTATCTATAGTTTTATTATGTTAGAGTTAAAACCTTTCTTTTTTTTATTTTTTTTTTATTTTTTATTTTTTGGTTTTTCGAGACAGGGTTTCTCTGTGTAGCTTTGCGCCTTTTCCTGGAACTCACTTGGCAGCCCAGGCTGGCCTCGAACTCACAGAGATCCGCCTGGCTCTGCCTCCCGAGTGCTGGGATTAAAGGCGTGCGCCACCACCGCCCCGGCAAAACCTTTCTTTTTTAGTTAAACAAAAAGGGAAAAATGCTGTGGAATAACCTTTCTGTACTCTGTGAACATATGCTGCTTTCATTGTTAGTAAAAAGCTGTTTGGCTGATAGCTAGGCAGGATTTTCAGGGCAGAGAGAATGCTGGGAAGAAGGGTGGAGTCAGAGGAGTCACCAGCCAGACACAGAGAGAAAGCAGGATGTGTACAAAATGAGGTAACAAGCAATGAGCCACATGGTAGAACTTAAGTAAGAAATATGGCTTGATGTGGGTTATAAGAGATAACTAGTAACAAGCCTAAGCTATTGGCTGAGCATTTATAATTAATATTAAGTCTCTGTGTGGTTATTTGGGAATGGCTGGCAGGACAGAGCTGACTGGCAGTTTGGAAAGAAAAGTCCTCCTACACAAAATATATTGCAATTTTGTTCATTAGACATTTATGTTTGGGGGCTTAGATCTCTGTGTTGTTGCTAAAACTATTAAATACGTTATTTGATTTAAAAAAAAAAAAGAAGGCTAAGGGATAGCTCTGTGATAGAGTGCTTGTCTAGCACGAGGTTCCATGTAGCTCTGTGATAGAGTGCTTGTCTAGCACGAGGGTCCATGTAGCTCTGTGATAGAGTACTCACCTAGCACGCTGGTATTCTACTCAACCTCTAGTACCAGAAAGGGAAAAAAAAAAAAAAAGGAAATGATGATAGGTTCTAACACCCTAAATGTCACCAGAGGCAGCTTCTTAGTTGGTGGTTGGAATATTTCTTCTGGTACTTTGAAGTGCCAGGTAAGTATCTAACTGCCAATAGGCCACTGTGCCACAGGAAAACCTAAACTTTCCATACAAAGACCCTGACAAGGTTCTGCAATAACATAGACAACATATCAACCAGTCTCTGGCTATTCCAGCCACAGCCACTCACCATGGTCCTGAGGAAGCTAGACCACCACCTGAGCCCACAGGAGGAGAGGCTGTAAGAAGGAACTGTTCTAAGCCTGCACATGTTACAGACATTGGCTGTTCACCAGAACATAGCATCTGGGCACACTTCAGCAGTGGCGTCCTTCTTCTAAGGTTTACTGCTATCTAGACACACAGGGCTCCTTCTCAGCGGCCGAGGGCAGAACACTGCCCACAGGGGCAGCAGGAACCCATTGTCCTCCTCCCATACTACAGATGCTACGGGGTGGGTAGGGCGGGGTGAGCCTCGCCCTGGAGACGACGGAGGCCTTCTCAGGACACACGACTTCCGGTGCTGACACCAAGATAGTCTTGGTGATCTCTGACTAATCACCTTGACAGCAAAGATCCATAGCCCCAGAGTAGAGGGTAGGCCCAGGGACATCATTAGGACTACACAGCTGCCACTGTGAAATTGTTTCACAAAAGATAAGCAGCTGGATCTCTGGAGGAATCCATACAGCTGAGCCTTGGCAGCACTCGTGTGAAGAACGGTCCCTGAACCCAACGACGTCATGGCTTCTTGAATGCCTTCACAGTGACCCCAGGTTCATCATCTCAGATCCACTCCCGCCTCATTGTCAGAGTGGGAGCCTGTGACCCTGCACAGCAGAAAAGAGGGTAGCGTTGCCCAGACACACCTTCCCACTCTCTCCTTGCTTTGTGTGACCTGTTCAAAATAAAAATAAAAGCCATACTCATCCACCGCTTGCCCCGTCTCTCTACTTGTCCACTTTGAGTACTGTGGAAAGAGAGTTACCCTCCTTTTTGCCCCTCCTGTGATAGAGGGGGCTCAGTCACCAGCTCCAAGGAAGGAAATGCACAGTTAAAGAGCCAGGCCTCCTCCTTGTCCCCGAGGAAGCCCGTCCTGGGCTGTGAGCGAGGGCAGTCATTCAT